GTTCCTTGCTTTTGCTCCAGTTACACCATGAAGAGCTTTGGAGCAGAGAAACCTGCAAACAACCTGGTTTAGACTCTTTGCTCCCCCCATGTAACCCCAATGGAACCGTTGGCCAACTCGTGAGCCCAGCTGAGTTGTGCTTTAAACCACGCCTATGTTTTCCCTTTGGCAAGGCAGGGACAAACCCAGTCTTGGATGAAAGTCAAAGCTCCCCAGAGCTGTTCTCACTTACATCCAGCTGTTTGCTGACCACTGGGGATCTCATGAGGATTAAGAATGTCCATGGGCAACGATGATCTGTGAATGATTGCTTTTCTTTCTTCTCATTATGTTGGGACAGGGTGAAGGAGACAGAAGATCTGCTATGGTGATTCCTAGAGGCATGAATATTTCCCATAGGAGGGGATGTTCTCATGCAGCTGCAGTGAGCACATCGGTGGCTCAGAGGAATGTGGAGGGACACGGTGGGAAATGGGCTGAAGGGAAATAAATTTGGGTTAGGGGACGCGGGTGTTGTGGAACTCAGCTACCTAATTTTGGCATTAGGAGTAATTTTTCTGGGTGACTCACTCAGATCCGGTTTTCAGAAACGTTAGCTGTGGGTAAATGCTTGAAGATGAGTCTTTACATTTTTGGGGGTAAAAAAAAAATGATAAAGAAAATCTTGCAAACTCATTGCTGAGCTTTCTCTCCTGTTAGGTTTAGGGTAAGAAGCAAAGAATCTTGAAAGCCCACAAATATTTGTATTTAGCAATTCAGTGGTTTTATCTCTGCATGAGACTAAGCTAGGATAGAGAATGCCTTGGAAACCCAGATTAAAACAGCTCTTTAAATAGTGTCTCCCAACCCCCTCCCTGAAATTTCTCATGGCAATTTAATTAAAATCAGAGAAGAAGTCTGACTTACACCTCTGAAACTCAGGGACGTAAATACCTAGTCTGAACTTCACTCCATTTACACAATGTGTCTGTGTACAAATCCTGGGCAAAGTTTTAGCCTGGATCCAATCACTATGTGTCAAACTAATTAAAATGTGTCTTTTTTAATTATTATTGTTATTTCTGAATTCTCCATCTAGGAAAGACAGTGGGAAATATTGCAAAACATATTTGTTTAAAGTAGTCCAGAAAGTCCAGTCAGTGAACAAGCTGTCTTCAAACCAAGCATAAAACTAATCTGCAGTCTGACAAGTCTTGGATTAATTGCACTCTCCCTTTGCTAGCAAATGAGAAGTTTTTAAACATCCTTTTATGCTTGCTGAGTGATTTTCTGAAGTTTGTGTAGTGCACTGCTGCAAAATATTGTGATTTTCAAGAGCAGACCATTGCAAAATATAATAAGTGATTGTCCAGGTTTGGACAGTAGGAGGAAATAATCAGCATCAGCCAGGATGGGCTGTATCCAGTTTGCTGGCCTGAATTCCCTGGCTGAGAGGTCTGCTGTGGGGCGAGGCTGGGTAGCAGCTAACACGTGCCATGCAGTGGGCAATGGCAATGGGAGGAGGATATGGAGGGGATAGGCAGGGACACACTAAGAGAGGGTGTCTAATTAGGATCCCACAATAGAAATTCAGTTTGACCTTTCCTTGCATGCATCTGGAGCCTGGGGCAGTTACCTTCACCCCCACTGTATTTGCAAGGATATTTATGGGGATGAGGAGGCAAAATACTTCTCCCTGAGCTCTTAGGCATGTGCACTGGTTCATACCCTTTGCTTAAGCTTCCCATATGGCATTGCTAGCATGCAAGGGGAGATCATATAGCTGAGCTGCAGCAGCTGAGACCGGGGGGTCTTGTCTCCATGCTCCTCTAAGCTCCTTTCACTCCCCATGAAGAGAGACAGGCAACTCCAGGAGGTGATTTATCACACCCATCCTAGAGCTCTGGCTTAGGACAGGATGAATCAGTTGTGAGAAGTGGATGTCTCTTCCCTGTAGCCAGAGAGGGAGAAGAGGCTGCTGGCTTAGGTAAGCCTGTGAATTTTCAGTAGCTTAAATTGGGTGGGATGACACTTACCCTCAGAAACTAAATGCATGGAGACACGCAACTTAGCATGACAGTTGCCATAGCAAAGAGGATATTGACAGCAGTGTCAGGCTGAACTGGAAGGCAGGAAGACACAAGAGTAATCAGAATGTCTCTTAATGCCTTGTATTCCTAAAGCAGTTACTGTTTCAGGAAGCAATTCCAGTTGACAACTCATCTTGTTCTCCCATAGCATTCACATGAGTCACTGAGACAGATTCTCTGAGACCTGGGCACAGACGTCACAGACTCAAAAAGCGTTTTCAGACTGCCCAAATTCAGTGGGCATCCTCCTACGGTGTCCCAGGACCAACCTCGTCCCAACCTTGGAGCAACTGCCAGCACAATTAGTTGTGATAGCAGGTCACCAGGACCTCAGGTAGGGAGTAGACCAAGCTGGAGACTTGGGCTGAAGAGAGTGTAACCAATAATCTACCTAGACTGCCATACCCATGGCATGTGAAAGCTTCAGGTGTGTCTGCGTGGAAATCTACAACCCAGTATGACTTCTTTGCTCAACATCACCCTCTTATTTTTCTGCAAGGAGAGTACTGATTTTCCTTGATGTAACGGTCCTTAACTGGTGAACATACAAAGGAGATAAGGTTTGCCTTGCCAGAGTAACACAATACTTTCTCACACATTTATGTGCCTGATTTTTTGTGTGTAAAATATCATAACCCTTTTGGCCAGAGGTTAATAAAAATGCTTTAAAATTAAATTTCTCTATTCTGAGTATTGATTGTCCTGTAGTTTTTTGTTCTGGGTTTTGGAGGTTTTTTTTGAGACCCTTATCTTCTTTAAAATGTGGAAGTCCCTGGACTAGTAATAGTGAGAGAAAGAATGCATTTGGTGATGTATCTTGATATAAGAAGTTATTTTCTAATGGTGTCCCATAAACAGTGCCAATTGTATTGTCATGCTGCTGAAGGTTGTAATTCAGTGGCAATTATAAACTGAGGCTTATTGTTAACATGGTACATACAAACTGGAGACAAAAGAGAAGATGTAAAGCTCATGACTTCCTAATCCTGGGTGGAAAACAGCAGTGCAAATGTATATGAAAACCAAATCTGCAACCAGACATACCCATGAATGGGTAATAAAAGCCAGTGGCACAGACTCAGCCTTGACTAATCTTGTTTAAAGGATCTAAGACTGAGTTACAAAGAAAAAAAAAAAAAAAAAAAGAGAGGTTTAATAAAGGCATCCAAGTGTTCTGAAAACCAGCACAAAATTGCTGATGCAAGGGAAATTGTGAAATAATTTCAGCATGAGTCTGTAAAGACATACATTCAAAGGACCCAAACAACAGCAAATGCACTTTACACATCCAATGTGAGGAATAATTAACAATCTTAAATAAAAAATGGAAGTGAATACCCTTAAAAGATGGGCACCAACATGAAATAATATCTTACTGCTTCCAATACAAACCTCATTCATTAACAGCCAAAATATGTCATCTTATAATACTTTGCTGACATAATAGGAAATTTCTGGTGCTCTGAATGCTCAGTTGCCTGCATAGGAGATGAAAAGGAAAGACACACACAGGTCTGAACCCAAAATGTCTATTTCGATCTTCTGTAGTTATAACTGAATCTTTGTTATTTTTATCTTACTGAAACTGGTAGGAATTTTTCTCTCAGAATGAGTGAAAAATTCTAAACTCCTTTATTGAGCCACATAGTCTAAAAAAATCAGAAAAAAACCCAATCAAAACCATAGAGTCAATACACTAACTGTAAATTCTTAAGCTAATTTATTAAATTTTATTTAGAAAAACATTTAAACCCTTACTTTTTCTAACTGAGAATATCTACCCTCCAGACTGTGAATATTTATGTTTATGGTGGGAGAAGAATATAAAGTTTTGACTGGTTTTAGTGGACTTTATTGACATTGTCATACTGAGGTGGTGTTCTGTTCTGTTCTACTAAAGTAGTCAGGACTTAGAAAAGCATTTATAGAAACACACAGTTTTATCTAAACACAATGGATGTCATAATTGATTGTTTTTCTTCATGAAAAAGAGAAACATTGGGACTAGCATTTTGTTTAATCTTTTGTGTTGGAAAAGAGTAGCATTATCTTTGCACCTATATCTGTTATTTATTTATGTCAGGTCATAGCAAACTGAAGCACCAGAGAGATAGTCACTGTTTATCCTTATTTGTCAGTTTCAATATAATTATAACTATTTAACTGTTTTTATTTGTGCAACTGTACTGGCCAGAAGTCCTCTTCCTAAGCAAGAACACTTTTGAGTTGGGTGCTTTCCAACCCGAGAATGAAAAGATGATCCCTCTCTCCAAAAGCTTGCAGCAAGGAAACAATAAGCCTGTATTATCTGGCAGGAATCACTGTAACCACAGCGATTCAGTAACTGCTGTCATATCAAGTGACTCTTATGTCACTTCCTTAGGAGAACAGAGTGCTTGTGAGGTATTAGCAATTTACCTGACTCTTAGGAGAGTCATGTATAATTCTAGCTCTTTTTGAAAACTCAGAATAAAACGTTTTGAATTTTGAAGTCAGAAACAATTGCTAAGTTAAGTGAAATTCCTATCTCTAGGAAAAATTACTTTGTGAGCTGAACTGAGGTCCTTTATAATGCTAAAAACGGATCTCCAAACTCTTTTCATTGTCAATTTTAGCCATTTCTAGGTGGAGAGGAAATCAAGCTACTGTCTACACAGAAGGCACACTTGTGCATGTGCATGCACACACACCCCTTCTCTCTCTCTTATAGCCTGTTATTTTGATTTACAGGAGCAGACTACCCATTAAAAAAGCATTAAACATATAATTGCCAGTGGAAAGCTAGTGGTTTCCACTCTGTCTATCCAAAGACCCTACTGAAGAGCAAATCTGACTAGTGATATGGCAAAACCCCTGGAGACTGAAAAAGACAGAGCACTTATTTCCCTATTCCAAAGAAACTTTAACAATATGCCATTAATACACCATTTTTAGCTCATAAACCTCTTCCTGTGGCCTGAAGCACTAACATTCCCATACCTAGCTGGAAGATCAGCTTTAGCCACTTAAAAGATTACCCAGTGGAGACATAATCTGGGCTGCCCATGCTGCCAAGGGATATAAACCTTTGCTCATTCAGTGCAATGGGATAATCAGTAACTGAACAAACCGGCAGATGTGAGGTCTGGAGTGTTTTCCCCAGCCCACACAAAGACTGAACAACACAGGTAAGTAACTCCTGCACCAGTAAGTTAAACTTCTGTTATTCAAGAGTCTACCATATTTCAAGTAATTCTCCTCTCTGGTACTGATAAGATTTCAGGAAAACAGATGGGAGAAGGTATTGCCACATTAAATTTCAGCTGAAAAAATATGTGATATTCTTCTGTGTAAGAATAAGGCTACACTGTACAGGTCTTTCTTCTTAGACAGGCTAAAACAAAGATAAGCAATAACCCGTGTTCTCAGGTAGAAAAAATGCAGTAAAATTATCATCTTTATTATGTATGACCATATTTTATATATGGGCATATATATAACATGCTTTTTTTTTTCCCCCCGTTAAATGTCTTAACTGCCTGAGAAATTGCCTTTCTTGTAATATAGCCTCTAAATCTTTGAGATTGAGCCCTGTTGGTGTAAGAAAAAAAAAAAAGTTGCTTAGTAGGTAATGCCTTAAAGCTTTGAAACTCTCTCTCCTCACTCAGAAACAGCTTGACCGAAGCAAGACCTTATGGACTTGTCTGAAAACTCCTCTATTTTCCTGGGATGTAATGGGAACTCATGGGAGAAAACTGTAGCTAAAGATGCAGGAATGGGCAGTGAAATTGCAATACTTACATTTCAAGCTAGGTAAAACCTATTATGTGTGGTGTGCAGGTGGGTATTCATTTCAAACAGTTATAGGAATTAAAACTAGGGAATTCAATCTATATGCATTTAGTCATAAAACTGTAAAACAAACTTATCTCTTGTCCTTCAGCAACCGTGTTTACTTGGGCATCTGCTTATCTGTCATCGGTTATGAAGCTGAAGGTCCCTCAAGCAAGAAACAGAAACCCACACTGTTCTCAAACGTGCTCACATTTTGGCTGAATGCTATCAATAAGCCAGAGGGTACACTGATCTAAACCCTTATTTAACTAAGAAACTGGTCAATGTAATGACTATAAAGCAATTTAAGAGTTGGCTTCCTAGGGTTCTTTTAATTTTCTTGCATGAATAAATTTAAAAATAATTTATGAAAATGCAGTACAGTTGAAAAAATATTCTTTTCTTAACTGCACTATTTTGCAGTCTGCAGCGAATTGGTATTACTGTTCCCTGTTTCTGTAAAATGCTCAATGAGTTCAAATGACTCTCAAATCTACTGAGACAGTTGAATTACTGCAAAAATCTGTCTAGGGCTGTAGACATGTGTTCTTTTGACTCCCCCTCCATCCTACTGAAAAATAAACTACTGTTCTTCATGGCTTATTTTGTCTCTGTCAAGGAAACTTTCTGCTCTCTTCTCAGGAGAATTGTACAATAGCAATCTGATCCTGACCTTTCTACCTCTTCCTTGAATAACAGATGAAAATTGGACAGTGAAAAGTGGTGTGCGCTCCGTAACTTGTATCCCAGACACAATCTAATGACACTCTTCTCTAGTAAAAACAATAGTTGCAGCAAAGGTTAAGGTAAACAGGTTTAGCTAATTACCTCTTAATCAAAACCAGTTATAATTTACTGCTGTCCTCTGAAACTCTGTGCCTACTAAACCATTGACTTTGGTTGGATTAGCTTATCTCTGATAAATGCAGTGTGATTAATTTCTCCCACAGTACAGCAGCACGTAAATATCAAACAGAGGTAATATATGACCAAATAAACTCAACTCACACGCTATCACAGCAGAACTCTCCAAGGCCCTCAGGTACCAGGCACTGAAATAGAATCCCTTTTTTTTTACAGAAGGTGATGGTGGGGGAGCAATCATTTTAATGTTATTCTTTGTCCCAGAGACAAAAAAGAAAACACCAGAAGCAAATCTTTACTACGGACATGTAAATCACATGTATACATGTGAACACAAACATGCATGTGTCATATTAAGCTTTGAAGGGATGGCTGTGAACACCCTGAGTAACCAATTCTTTTAAGTTTTCTAGAATATGAAATAATCTGTTTTTCAAGTAAGTGAGAGGGAATAAAGAGAGCTCAATTAAAAATCCATTTGAAATGTTTATATGAGATCTGAAACTACATATACTTCTTCAGTTTATACTTTGGTTTCAAGCTCAGACTGGTTTAATCAAAACATTTGCTACTTTTTGAGCAAACTTTAGACTACTTTCTAAAGAAGCTGCTCTGAGGTATGGTTCTGTGTCAAAATAATAGGGAAGCCATAATCCCCCAGAGCTTTCTTAGAAGCTCTGTGCAATCCAGAAGTTTCGATTCAGTTGCAGTTTGTTTTTTTAACTTTATAAAAATCCAAAACCTGAGGCAGACAGTAGAAAATGTCTGCATAAAGTCCTCACTGCAGTGGGAAACAGAAGAGCTTGATACAGTTCTGTCTGCTGACAATACTCCAGCATACTCAATGGGATAGAAGCAATTTACCTAACCTGAGTGATCTTAATTACAAATCTCACCTTGTTTTAAAATTAACTTTACTTCAGTGCCACTTGCTTACTGCAAAGCAGCAGGTTTACAATTACACCAAAACACTGCCCTAACTTTAACACTGTATGTGTCCTTTCCCATGCTCCTGAAGAGCTTCCATTATCCTGAAAGCACTTTTAACAATAATTTGCACTTTTTCATTGCCAGCCACTTATTCCTTGCTGCTTTTGTTTGCTGTAGCAAAAGCTAGGACAAATTACTTCATCAGCCTACATTTAGTGTGTTGGGCAGCCCTGACATTTGAGGAGGAATTCCTCTAAGTGTAAAGCAGCAGACCATTACTCTGAACAGTGGATTTCTGTGGTCTACAGACATCGGGGTTCAATGTCTGAAGGGAACCAGGAAAGGGAACTGAGAAAACGAAACTGGGCACAACAGGGTTGAATATGGTAAAAGAGGACCTAAACCTCCACCGATTACTACTCCACAAATTGAAAGGACCAAACATGACAGGTCTTCAGCACAGTTGAACTGGCCAACTTGTCAAATTTAAATGGAAAGAGCTGGATGTAAAAGTGGTCCTGAAGTTACTACGGCAGAAAATTACTTTGAAGCTGATCCACATCCTTTCACAGAAATTAATAAATCCCTTCACTGGGGATTGTGTTATGGTGACATGCACACTATAAACAAATGATGGGCCAAGCTTTAGGAGCCTTCAAACCTTCTCTCTGTTGGACAGATTTTCAGTTGTCATTACCCTTTGATTTTCTCCCTTTTACATATATTTTTTTTAGCTCTTCTGTTGTCTGCCTTGTGAAAATAGACCTCGAGTTCAAGGCTGTGTACAGTGGTTGGATTTTTCTCAAGCCATTGGAGTTCCAGCCAGTAAGTAAGAGTCCCAGTGCACAGACCAAATTAATTCCATCATCATCAAATGGAAACAAAGTGCCTGAGACAAAGTGACTGAGAGGTCAAGGAAATCTGCAGCTGAGAATCAAACTGGGGCCAGTCGGGAATTCAATACATTAAAGGTGAACTAGGGGGCATTTTTAGAGCTTGGGGTGCACTCCAGTGACTGCACATAATCTTTCATGCTTTCTGTGGTTTTATCTCAGATTTACTGTTGACTGATGCACAAGATGAAACAACAAGGATTATTCTGTTATGTGAATTTTCCTTCTTTGAATTAATTTTGTATAGCTGATGGGTTTACTATATGAAGTGACTTTTAAGAAAACATCTTTAAACTCTACACCAGTACAGGAAAACTCTGTGAGTCTGACAGCTCTGGAGTTGCCCTGTCAGAAGACAGGTCAGGGTTCAACCTATTAAACTTTTGGTAGCTGCAAGATGCTAGATGAGCTGGACTGCCCATCCACCAACTCAGACCTGATTGCTGTTTCCATTTCCTTATATAGTGATGGACAAAGCATGAAAAAAGTTAATGCACACATTTTATCCCCTGCGGGGTTGACATCTTTCTGGCTGATTGATAAAAACTTTCAGATGATCAGACAGGAGAGCTGTATCTGCTCCATAGATATGCCTCAGAGCAGCATTATTATTTAAGACTCACTTCCATTCAATGGCAGGTCCGGGAAAGTAGGGAAAAAACATAAACTAGCTTTTGGGTGAAAACAGCTGTGAGTTTTCAGGGCAATTGTAATCTTGCACCTTCAATTCATGACCCTTTAAATTTGGTGTCATGTGAACCCTGATTATTCATCCCCTGAGGGAAAGGAAGCCTATCTGAGAAGCTCTCACACTTCCAAACTGCCCCACTCTTCGTGGCTTTAAGCCACATAAAAGTAATAACCCTTCCATAAGATATTGCTCAGTGGCTGTTGGAAATGCCTTGGAATAGGACTTATTCAGCAGATTTGTATAAAACTCAATCTCTTGTTTTTACAGAGTCTGTGGATTAAAACATGAAATGTAATCATTCTTACTAAAATCTGTGCCTCTCCACAATTCTGTTTCACATCAAACCTGATGCGTTTTGGTTGCTGCTATGGATTGCCAGCTGGCTCTGTTCTGCCAGAATGGGGCACTGGAATATTGTTCATGATTCAAAAAAGCATCTATTGTATCTTCTGTCAAACCACCAAACACATCCAGACTAGCTGGGGTCTGCAATCCCTGAGTATTCTCCTCCTATCTTTGAGGTCCTCTTTGCCTCCTTGCTCCCATTTATTTTAGCTCCTCTCTACAGGTTCTCACACAACAGTTAGGTCATAATTTAGTCTGACCTCACCAAGGCCTTCTCTTAGAGCTTTCCCTCTTGCCCTAGACTTCCACTTCAGACAATCTACAAAGGAAATTCTATGGTGAGGTTAAATGACCTGTCTAAGATCCGTGTCACCACCTAGGTATAGAGTTTATCCTCTAAGACTCCATAACACAGGACATTTTATTTAACTTTCCATGACTGTAGTATGGACTTCTGTGCCTGGACTAATCATCTTAGATATCCTCCAGGTTTAAGGAAGAGAAAAAAACATGCTTTGTCATTCATCTCATGACCAAAGCTAGGTGAGTAAATCCGACTCTTGTGTTCTCATGAGACAGAGGGATACAGAGTGATATTGATATGAGGTGAACTGCAGCATCTGGGTATACCTGAGGTCCCCACTCAGCTGAGGAATGCCATCCTGGAGTGGCTGGGTTTTAAATTTAAGAGCCTTCAATAAAATCCTGACAGTTTCGTAGCATGAACCTAGGCCAATTGAACCTGGGCTCTTAAAATGATTCCTCTGTGGGAGAGTTAACACTACTAAGCAATATTGAGTCTCTTTAAAACAGATATTTCTTGGAGGATGTTAAGAGAGTAAGTGTTGCAAGTTATTTGCATTAAATTGTTGAATCCTGTTGTTCTAAGTAAATGTTATACCTTTTTTGTTGTTGTTTTTCTTTTCATTAGTGCATAGAAGCATGGTTAGTTTTATCTTGGGGGTTTTAAACCTATTTTATAAGGTTTGGAAAGATTGTCAGCTGACTATGAAGCTAATGAATTTGGAGTCATTAATAAATGTAAATTACGTGGGGAGGACTGTATCACTTGTAAGCTGGAAAACATATTTCTAGTGAGACTAGCTCTGAACAGTATTTTACATTTGAAAGAGTGTGGAATTCTGCTTTTGGCATCTCTACTGAAAAACACAGATTAAAATATATGTGTGCTTTCTCCTCCAGTTTTTATAGTGCGAGAATTGTCCATGTAGTTTCTATGAACAGTGAGAAAAACAACTCAGCCCTAGCAATGTGGCACTGATCTCTGTTGTTCATTTGTCAACAGCCACAGGTTTAGTGGTATGTAATGGTCAAGGCACTAAAATAACATAGGTATTTTCAAAATTCTTCTAACTTTCCACCCTAGCATTGCAAAAGGATATTGCTTTAAACACCTTCTCATCTCAAGATACCTTGAGTAAGTTTTTGCTAGTTATGTGTGACAGTCACCAGCTAGACCTAGAAGATAACCAAAAATAAAAAAGACATTTAAATTGTGGGTCTTGCTGGGCCAATGAAATTTTTGCATTTATGTGAAGTATAAGTGTCAGCAGAACAGACTGAAGGTTTCTGTACTTCTCAGGGTACATTTGCTGGGCTGAGCCTCAAGTGTGAGCAGGAAGGAAAAGCACCATCAGAAATGGTGTGGCATCGGAGGAGTCCCCGCCTGCTCAGCACTGTTGTGTCCATAGGAACTGTAGGCATCTTCAGTTTCAGGCAGCAGGTTTGGGGAACTTGGTTCTTGGACTCACAGCTATTGAGAGGTTAGCCATCCGGGTCACATTCCTGTGCAGGTCTGATCCTATGTCCTGATGGTGTCAGAGCTTAAACAGCTCTCCTCTCCCCAGCATTTTCCTAGTCTGGAGGCTCCTTTCAACATGTTGGCTTTGGTGAGTCCCACTCTCACTTTGACAACTCTCCTGTGTTACATGAGGGCACCAGATCCAGATCTATGAGTTCTGGTAGAAGTGAGTTGCTGCAAAGCTCAGTCTAAATCCCCTTTGTGAATCCAGTCTCTTTGTGGATGCCAGCTGTGCTTGGAAATTTGACTTAGGATCTTAAAATCACTTTGTAGATCCAGCCCTCAGGCAACTTTGAAAATCCCTCCATAGGAAATGAGGGTTTTTTCACTGCAAGTGTGAAATAGAGTATAACTCTTACTGGTTTTAGTGCAACTAAGATCATGTAGCACTTTTTATAGACTGCCAAAGGGTCTAAATATGGTCAGTAAACCAGAAGGTGTTTTAAGGGGAGTAGACAGAAGGGGGTTATGTCTGCATGGGCTCATTGCCATCTGTATTTAAAGCATGGGGGGGACTGTGATGCCTTTGGGGAGGAATGCAGCTACTTGCACTTTATTTTATTCTTGTAATTTGAGTGCCAAGCCCCTGGAGCTGAGGAGAGATGATTCTTTTTCTTTTTCTTGCCTCTGAACATTCAGGTAAATAAATAATGGAACATTATTTACATTATTTCTGTACACTTGTCCACTGTACAGAACATTATTTCATTGAATAACTCGGCCTTTCAATGATTACTTGTATTTCTAATTCATTATTTTAAGAAGGCTGGGTTTTCAGCACTCATCTTCCCCTGGAAACAACACTTTTATACATTAAGTTTTGCACATGAGTTTTCAAGCAAAATTGACTGTGAACCACTGAATGGCACAGGCTGAAAACACCCTGAACTCTGTAGCTGTATAGATGCATGCTTTGCTGTAGTGAAGTGCTTGTACAACCTGACTACTGTCATGTACCTTTTGGTGCCTGAGATGAACGTTGTGGGTTTTGTGGAGACAACAATTGCTTTTGTTTGGTGAAGGAAAAATATGTAATAGTATATTTGTTTTAACAAAAAGTACCCTGTGAAGTGGACTCCTGGGGAACTGAAATTTTACCATACAGACTCCAGGCTGCAACTCTTAAAAGTTTGGGATGGTTTGTAGTCTACAAATGCACTGACAAATGTGTGATTTAATGTGGAGAAACACTAGCACAATGATCCTTTCATAGACCTCTTAAAACGTTATTGTTTCCTGTCTTCTAGAGGTCACTTCTGGAAACTTGAATGTAATGCTGAACCCTTCACTGGTTTTAATGTCACCTTTGCATAACTGCTCCCTTTTGGAAAGAGATTCACAGGTGTTAATCTACTTATGTATTTCAGTTCTGTTACTTTTTTAAAGAGGACTATGAAAAAATGCTCTCTGTATTTTGCATTGACCAACTTTCTTTACCTTGTCTTACAAGAAGGCTTTGTGGATGCATTCAAAGAGCTTTCTTTTGCAAAATCCTGAAGCTTCCAAGGAATTTTTTCTTGAGTTTTATTCTGGACAGCAATGTTGTGGGAAATTAGGATCAAAAACGTCAACTGTAAATTTTCCTTTGAAGTATACTGCTGTCTTCTGGAATATACTTCCGGATACTGAAGGAAAGGACACAACAAAATTTCTTCTTCTATTCACACAAAATCTCATTCTTGAGGCTTAGTTGCATCCCACTTGCAATTCTTGTTTACTCAGCTCCTAAGAAGACATTGTCAATGAAAAACCTACTTGTACTAGCTACGTATACCAGCATTTACTTTTACCAGCTAAAGAGCTGCCCTTGAGGATTTTGACTCAAATTTTAATTTCGCAAGTAGGTGCCTTGAAACCTCAGGGTTGTGTGTTGTGTGTTTTATTTTCACCTTTTTATACTGCTTAAAAATAATTTAGTTGCTTAAGGGAGAGATGGTGATGGAGAAATACGAAGTCGTTGAGGAAAATGAGCTCCATTCAGGGGGACAAAACTAAGAGTTATTTCTTGCCTGGTAGAGTTATCATTGCAGTTTTCACCATCCTTCCTTTCAGCAGAACAGTTTATTTCCACACA